TAATAAAGAAACTCTTTCATGCTGAACCCTTACTAAAAACCTTGAATGTGCTAAATGTTTACCAAATCAACATCTACCAAAATGCTTTTCATACTTTAATACAAACTTGGACTAGTCCCATCGCATTTTTTACATAACTTCTTTTAAGTTTAAAAAACTTAGTTGTTTCTGTTCTTTTAATGTTTACCTTTATATTTAGTGAGGAAGAATAGTTGGTATATTACTTTTTTTTTTTTTGGAATGAAACAATATTTTTTTTATTCTCCATTAGTATTTAATTTCAACCAAATATTTAATTTTTTAAGTTCTTTGTTCATACATTCATAAAAGTCTTTGATTGAGTTCGAAGAATAAAATAAGTTTGTGTCATCAGCAAACATAATTACATCAAGTTTTTCTGAGGCTTTTGTGAGGTCGTTAATATATAGAAGAAATAGAAGAAGTCCAAAAATGGAACCTTTTTTGGACCTCTTCTATTTTATTCAAAACTACTAATGCGGAGAGACACCGCACTCAACTCTTAGTAGTTTTGAGCGTTTATAATTATCTGAAAAAACTCATTATTGTCCATTGCTTAGATAGTTTTTGAACCAGTCAAGGGTTATGTTTTTTATCCCATCGTTTTCCATTTTTTTAAGTAAGATATTATGATTTACACTATTTGCCTAGAACATACTACTTTTTATCAAAAGAATCACTTATATTTTTAACTAGATCTAAGATTGCGTGTTCAGTTAAATATTGTTTTTGGAAACCAAATTACTTTTTATTTAGGATTAAATACTCATACAATCTCTTAAAAATCACTTTTTCAAAGGCTTAGAAAAGGCAGGGAGTACTGAGATAGGTCTATAGTTTTTAATTAAGTATGATTCACCTGTTTTAAATATTGGAACTACTTTAGCTACTTTTAACTTGTCCGGTACAGCTTCTGTTTTAGTCGAAGATTTAAAAATTTCAATTATAGGTTTATTTATCGTTGTTAAGACATTTGCCACTAGCCTACTACATATATCATCTATACCTGGAGTTTTATTTAATTTTAAGGAATTTAAGGCAACATTAAGCTCTTTGTAGTTTAGTTGTTTGTATTTTAGTTTGCTCTGGGTATTACTTAGGTATAATTTAAATAAGTTACTAGGAGACTTATTTTTTGAGGTAAGATTAGGGCCAATGGTAACAAAAAATTTGTTGAATTTTTCATCAATCGTTACTTTTGTTACTGCACTCTTTATTGTCTATGACGATTTGAGGAGGTAAACTATTTGATTTAACTTTTTTGTTCCTAATTATTTCATTTCTAGTATTCCATATTTTTTTAATGTCACCAGTTGCATTTTCTATTTGGTTCGAGTAGTAATTTTTCTTTAAACTTTTTATTTTTTCAAATAAATTTTTGTATTGTTTGTAAGTATTTAGGTTTTTTTTCATTTCTATTTTTTAAATAGTTGATGTAAAGTTTTTTGTTTTTTTTTTAAGATTTTTTATACCCTCTAGTAATCCATAGATATTGTAAGTACTTTACTTTTAATTTTTGTTTTACAATTGGTAAGTGCATAGCCTACTTTAATTAACTGATTTAAGGCCTACTTTGATTAACTACTGTAATTTAAGTAGGCCATGCGAAGTGATTATATAATTCATTATAAGCGGAATTCGTATGCCCAAAGTTACATTCTTGGTAAATCTTGTCCCACCCCTCTCTACCGATAGTGATAGATACAAAATCTAAAACAGTTAATGGTTTCCGTGGTAAAGGAATTCTTCCTTTAAATTTTGAGAATGTTCAGCGATTTAGCGATTTATTGGATTAGATAATGATTCTAAATCTGCTTCCAATTTAGATGCACAAGTAACTTCTGAATGTTTTAAAATTTCTTTTACCTTATCTAAATTTAGCTTTATCGAGATCAAAATAATCAATTGACCTTTCTGTCTCCCAAAGCCAAATCAGGTAGAGTGTATCATAAATTCACATATTGATAATTTTTTGTTTTTCTAGTTAATTAAATGTTGCCGTTCCGAATTTGCTGGTAATAAAAAATTTTGACGCGTAGCTCGATTTATAAAAGGCCCAAAAAGAAATTCATTAAAAATCTTTTTACCAAAAAAGACATATCACATGTCAAACTTTTTTTGTTTTATTTTATTTTAAATTTTTTCTTTAGAAGTTGCGTTAAAAGGAGGAAAAAACAAACAAATATGCATTTTTTGAATAATTATAAGGAAAAGTAATTTTGGGGCAGTTGCTTACCATGTGTTTATCCGGGACCGCTAGATATTTATAAAAAATTTCAAAATAAGTTTAAAATGACTGCAATGGTACTAGCAAAAATGTTACGAAGCGATTTTTAGATAAAAAATTTTATTTCTTATTTTATGGCCTAAAACCTGTAAAACGGAATTTGTAATAAAAAAAAAAATGCGATTAACTTTTTTTTAAGTTTTATTTATTTTTTTTTTTTTTCTATAAAAGTTAGTTAAGCAAAAATTTATTTTTAGTTTTTTTCATTTTTGGAAGTAATAGTGGAAAAAGTAATTATTTGATATATTTTTCCTCGTGGCTACCGGGGACGGCTAGAAAATTCCCAAAATAGGGCATTTGTACCAGAAAAAAAAGATATGAACCAATTTTTTAACAAAATGTTATAGTTTTTAATTTAAGGCCAAAATCTGTTAAACATCATTCCTATTTTATAATTCGTTTAAAATCTTGAAATTATTTGGTGAGTTATTTAAGTATTTTAAGACTTGAAAAAGTTTCAAAAAAATTAAGTTTTATTCATAGTTAACTCTCTATTTAATTTAATTGATTTATTAGATATAAATTATTATTAGATATAAATTATTATTAGATATAAATTATTATTAGATATAAATTGATTATTAGATATAAATTAATATTCAGGCTTGAAAAAATACATCCTAATAGCTAACGACTTTCAACAAAGCCGTTTCAACTTCCGAATAAACCTAAAACTACGCTATTAAGTTTAAAGACCAGGTTGACGACACATTTAAATAAACCAGGTTGATGACGCATTTAAATAAACACTTGTTATAATACAAATTGCAAACTGTTGAAAATAATTATAAATATATTATAATATTATAAACATAAACCTTTTGTTGATTATACAATATATATGCAAATTTCAAATTATCTAAATAAATTTTTTTGATTTCTATTAGTAGTATTGTCAGCATTTAAAAAAAAACATTGTTTTTTTTGAAACTTGCATTTATATTATATGCAAATTTCAGAGTGAAGTGATTAATAATTGTTTCATTTTCAAAATAATGATGCTTGTTGCTGTTCGAGGTAAAAAATTAAACTCGAGGAAAAAAATTCAACTTTTTTTTATTAGTTGCGGTTTCTCTTTTAAAGCTTTTTTCTATTCACATTCATTTAAAGAAAAGCTTGTTAATTTTGAATGGCACACTATAAAATCACTCAACATTCTCTTGATTCCACTTCCTTTATTAAACATTAGTCTAAAGAAAGCATGAAGCCATTTAAACGATTAGTCACCCGAGCACGCCGTACTTTTATCATGAACCATAACTATTTGCGCAGTTTGAACTTCAGGCCTGAAGTTCAAACTGCGCAAATAGTTATGGTTTAACAAACTTTGTTATTTGACTAATAAAATTCCCAATTAAATAGTAAGTTTTGAATCGCTTTATAGCTTCCGCTATATTGTGATATTTTGTTTGTTTTTTTGTTAAATTATTAGATAGTCATTTGATCTCGACCCTTCTAAATTCTAACTCCATTGAGATATAATGTAATATTAGAATCAATAAACTTTCCAATTGATATTGTAGTGCATTGATAACAATGATTACAATGCAACCACACCTACAAAATCGTTATTAGACGTAAAATTCGTTTTAATCCTAAATTGTTCGGTGAATTATTTGAGTATTTTAAGATTTAACTAATTAAGATTTTTACATCTAGTAAGCCAAAAAACTGTAAAATGATGTTTTACAGTTTCGACCTTAAATTAAAAACTATAATATTTTGTGATAGAAAAATTGATGTATTCAGAAGTTGATGCCCTCATTTTAAACCTATTTTAGATATTTTTGGAAATTTCTAGCGGTCCCCGATAAAAAATATATCAAATAGTTACTTTTCTTTTATTTCTTCCAAAAATGAATAAAATTTAAAAATAAATTTTTTCTAAAGTAGCTTTCATAGAAAAAAAAAAATTAAATTAAAAAAATTTAATCGCAATTTTTTCTTCATTACTAATTTATAGTTACACAGGTTTTAGGCCATAAAATATGAAATAAAATTTTTTTATGTAAAAATCGCTTCATAACTTTTTTGCTAGTACCATTGCAGTCATTTTAAACTTATTTTGAAATTTTTTTATAAATATCTAGCGGTCCCGGATAGACCAAAGGTGAACCACTGCCCCAAAATTACTTTTCCTTATAATTATTCGAAAAATGTACGTTTATTTTTTCTTCCCCGTCCTTTTAACGCAACTCCTTGAGAACAAATAGAAAATAAAATAAAAACAAAAAAAAATTTAAGTGATATTTTTTTTTTTGAAAAAAGATTTTTTATGAGTTCCCTTTTGGGCAATTTATAAATCGAACCACGCGTCAGAATTTTTTATTACCAACAAATTCGGAACGACAACATAATTAACTAGAAAAAAAAAAAAAGCTATTCTATATATTTATGAACCATACAGTATTAAAGTTTAACTATTCTAGTTTCTAAAAATAATTTATAATGGTAATATGATTCTAAAAGGTTTTCCAACAAAACAACTCTTTATCACGCTAATTCAAAACAGACTTCAAAAAACCTGGCAAATTTTAGCACAAAATTCGGTTCCGTAAGACAATATTTGTGCATATCTACGGAAATAGTGACTAAAGTTACCATTTGTCACCTGTGAAAGAAACCGTTCCCAGAGCAAATCATGTTACTGACCTAAATCCAAGTTATGGTATTCAACTAATACTACAAAACAGTATGCAACAATATAATATGTCATTACAACAATATATTACGAAAAGCTTAAAAAACAATTTCATTTCGTATAATATTTGTAAAAATATAAATTCCAAATTGTAAGATTACTAATTCATAAAAACTACACCATTGAGATAAAAATATAACGAATATTCTAGAAATTTCACTTTAAAAATATGGTAAGAACCTCCATTGCAGGTCAGAAACTTAATAATATATTTTCAACAACTTCAAATTTAACAGACTTTTCCCATATTTTATTGCGCAATGCAAAGACTATAATGAAACAGCTATTTGGAAGTTGATTTTACACACACACAAAAAAAAAAGGTTAGAAATGGTAGAGTAACGCACTACGCAATAATTATTTTGGAAAGGTCTCTATAAATTGTTATTAATATATAATAACCCATCAGAGAATTTATTAATTTAAAATGAAATTTAATTCATTAACCGCTTAGATTTTTATTTCTGCAAAATACGGTTAGAAATTTTAGTCTTTTAATTATTGAAAAAAAATGAACTTTAAAGAACTCCGCAAGTAACTTACTAAAGAATAAAAAATGAATCACTTAACTATTGTCAAGTAAAATTTCAAAACGTAATTTTTATGAATGTGATGAGAAAAGACAAATCATGCATGCAATAAAATAAATAGTATTGCGCGATTAGTTATTCTAGGACAAATAAAATGTTTTTATAAACAACAATTCCAATATATATTGTCCATAAAATTTGCACCGATACGGTTCATCAAACTCGCATTAAAATAAATTATTGTAGGTTGAACTATTATTCAAAAACCACTCAAATTAGAAGATTCAACAATTACAAGTAGCAACAATTAGCGACTCATAGGTAGCTAACCATAAACTGACTTATGGATAGCCTTAAGTGAAGGTAGCAACCAGTGTGTAAAACTATTTATAATGTTTTACAATGCTACTGATGAAGATGACGTTGTGTATATATCCGGACAGTGACTCCAGTCTTGCTTAACCTTTGCCTCCCAATACCCACCCTTATACACATAAATGCCTACATCTGGAGATTGTTCGTCCTCAGTGTACTCAAACCAAGTAGGTTTGTATGTTTCGCATACATGCCCTTCTTGCCCAGCAATTTGAGCGTCTGAATCTCGCTGCCTTCGACGAAGACGTTGGTTTTCTTCGAGAGCTAATTTTACAGTATTTGCTTCGTCAAAGTTTTGTTGTTCCATCAAACGAATATCAGGACGAAATCGAGAATCCGTTGGGCACACATTTTTTTCTTCTTGATTTAAAGAACAGGTAAACTCCGAAAAGTAATACATTAGTTTTGCTCCACTACTAAAAAAAAATAATATTTTAGGTGTAATACAAAAATAAACAATTTTTAGGGAAGAAAACAACAAAAAATTCACGACTTTAGTCGATACGGAATGTCCTTAGTTAGTTCTTTAAAAAGCTCTAAATGATTCTAACAAATTCTCGAACAAAAAATATCAACTTTGGGATTTATTAATAATAATAACTGATACAAATAAGTAGAAAAAATTTTCAGTTCTTTTTCATCTTCCCAATATTGATTAGAAATATATATATATATATATATATATATATATATATATATATATATATATATATATATATATATATATATATATATATATATATATATATATATATATATATACATATCTCCATTTTGTCAATTTTACAGTAGAGCAAAATGGAGATGATGCCCTATACCTCCGAGTATGTATACACCTTGATATTTCTATGTAGTATATATTATATACTACAGATATATAAACAAATTTACTTCCAAAAGTAATATTGATATACGGATAAATAATATATTATAAATAAATTTTATATATATATATATATATATATATATATATATATATATATATATATATATATATATATATATATATATATATATATATATATATATATATATATATATATATATATATAATATATATATATATATATATATATATATATATATATATATATATATATATATATATATATATATATATATATATATATATATATATATATATATATATATATATATATATATATATATATATATATATATATATATATATATATATATATATATATATATATATATGTATATATATATAAAATAGGGGTAGTCATTTTGAGGGAATTTTTGAAAACGAAGTACATACCCAGCTAAAGTTGGTGCAAATATGCTAAAACTTCGTCAAGATTTTTTTAAAGTTAATTGGATGACTTTTAAGTCCCCCTCAAGACTAGAATTTGTACTTTAAAAAAGGAAAAATAGGGTGTGTTCAGGGTGTTTAGGACGATTTAAATGAAAAAGTTAATTACATTTTTGTTTTTGTTATTTATATTTTTATTTTAAAAGGGTATGTCCATGTTTTTTACATATTCTCGGTTAAAACGATATTTTAGAAATCAAAAAATGAAAAATTTAAGTTACGCAAGTGGTTATGAAATCAGCTAATTATGTTTTTTCATACTTAAAGTTCATTCAGATGAACAGCTGGAAAAATTGAACCTGTTTTAAAATTTTTTGTTAAATTATAAGTTTTCATGAAACTCTACCAGTCTTGGCGATAAGGGAAGATGGGGGACGGAGCCTTGTGCTATCCCTACCATTATATGAATATTTTTCCCATTTAAATCAACCAAAAAAAAAAACAATTTTGAACTAAGTAATTTACCATTTAATAAAAATCTTTACAAACACTATCAAGCCGAAAATTATGCACTAATTGAAGTAAGTATTTTAAACCAAATAACTACCTCCCAAGTCTACAACCTTTTTTTCAGTTAAGCAAGTGACATCAGACTTTCTGATTTCTGTTTTTTTTGTTGTAATACTACTTTTTCCGACACCAAAAACTTTGATAGTTGACCTTTTTTTTTTTTTTTATTACCTTACTTTGTCGACAGTTAAAAGTCTGTTCTGCTTGACATCTTCATTTTAGTATCTTTGCACAAACTGTTGCATCATTCCGATTGCTTGTTCAGAATGATCATTGACAACAATTATAATTTCGGCAAAGTTTTCAAAATTCTTAAACAAGGACTGGGTGTGCCAGTATTTTTTATCAAAAAGAGCCTGTGTAGTAATTGTTGAAACATGATACCATGTATGCTTATAAAGAGATGCTAACACAGCACTAACTGCCTCCAGTTCGGAGCAGACTTTCTTATACTCTTTCATCTGAAAGATTGCATCAAGATCAGACGCAGGAAATTGAATTGCTTTACATGCTTAAAGGTACCACCTTGTATAAAAACATACTATGAACTCACAGATGAGTTTCAAAATCTTGCCTAAAAACCTAGCATGATGAACAGCTCCATTTTCTTTAATTTGAAATGTGCAGAAAGGAAAAAATACTGCATGGTTAGTTCAGTCAAATCTCTTTGGTCATTCCTCATATTGCATTTTTTAGTAATATAAGTCTCACAGTAATTTAAAATTTGTCTCGTAGCTTCCTTCAAAACTCTTCCTTTCAAAAGAGGTCAGGTTATTTTTGTCGTATTTGAATTTAGGGTTCTCAAACATATGTTTGAATTTTATGAAAAAGGGATTTTCAGGCCCTATGCTATTCTTTTTGATCACTGCTTCACAGAATTGAACTATTCTAAGCTCAATGATATGATGCCTACATTCTAGTAGAAGAAGGTATTTGTCTACCTATCTTGCAATCCTAATAATTGATTCTTTTATAGAACCAGTATTACTTGAAGATGTATAAAAAAACCCAGTCCTCATTTAAGAAAACTTTGCCAAAATCTTAATCGTTGTCAATGATCATTCTGAACAAGCAATCGTATTGATGCAGCAGTTTGCGCAAAGATACGAAAATGAAGATGACAAGCAGAACAGACTTTTAACTGTCGACAAAGGTCAACTTTCAAGGTTTTTGGTGTTGTATTTTACAACAAATAAAAATACAAATAAAAATATTACAACAAAAAAAAACAAGAAAAGTCTGATGTCACTCTCTGAACTGAAAAAAAAGATTGTAGACTTGGGAGGTTATTATTCGGTTTAAAATACTTACTTCAATTAATGCATAATTTTTGGCTTGATAGTGTTTGTAAAGATTTTTATTAAATGGTAAATTACTTATTTCAAAATAGTTTTTTTTGGTTGATTTAAGCGAGAAAAAATTCAAATAAAGGTAGGGGTAGAACAAGGCTTTATCTCCCATCCTCCCTCATCACCAAGACTGGTTAAGTTTCATGAAAATCTATAATTTAACAAAAAATTTTAAAACGAGTTCAATTTTTCCAGCTGTCCATCTAAATGAACTTTAAGTATGAAAATACATAATTTGCTGATTTCATAACCACTTGCATAACTTAAACTTTTCATTTTTTGATTTCTTAAATACCGTTTTAATCAAGAATATGTAAAAATCATGATGACATACCCTTTTAAAATAAAAATATAGGAAACAAATAACAAAAACAAAAATGGAAATAACTTTTTCATTTAAATCCCCCTAAACACCCTGAACACACCCTATTTTTCCTTTTTAAAGTACAATTTTTAAACAACTTTAGTTTTGAGGGGGATTTAAAAGTCATCTGATTGACCTAAAAAAAATTTTACCGAAATTTAAGCGTTTTAGCTCCAATTTTAGTTGGGTTTGTACTTCGTTTTCAAAAATTCCCTCAAAATGACTACCCCTAATATATATACATATAATATATATATATATATATACATATATATATATATATATATATATATCCCATTATATATACATATAATATACATATATATATATATATATATATATATATATATATATATATATATATATATATATATATATATATATATATATATATATATATATATATATATATATATATATATATATATATATATATGGAAACATAAAGATATATATCCTCAATTAATGTACACCCACTGTGTCTATTGCTAAAAAGTCACTAAATAAAACAAAACAAAAAAATATATAAAGAAAATAAAAATCAAAAAAATATCTTTAAAATTAAAATAAAAAATATATCTATAAAAATATAAAATACTAGTCTTAAGCGGTTTTAAAAAACGATTAAATTTAAAACTTATTGATTTAAGGCAGAGAAAAAAAAAGAAAACAATAAAATAGTAAAAATGTGTTTTTTGACCATAGTAGGTTTTGAAGTCCTAAGCAATGCCATAGCAACACATTTTAAACAAAAAAATTTCAACTTTTTTAAACTTCTAAATAACAATATCTTAATTCTGCTACACAGCTACTTGCTTTTAATGTGCTTCATGTTTAGTAGAGGTTTTTAATTGTTTTATGCATCTTTTCATAATATAATAAACGTTTACTTTATTTTTTAGAAAATTATTTGAAAGAGGGTGTTCCGCCTTTTGGAAGAGAGTGTACCACCTTAAATTTGCTTCTACAAATAATTAATTGGCTTTATTTTCTGATAACAAAAAAATGTCAACAAATTGTTAATGTAGTAAAAATGTCATTGAAAAATACTTTTTTTAAAAAAATAATATGATTTTGTGGCTATAAATAGAATTATTTTATGTAGTGGTTATAGGATAGATATCTGGACAAACAAAAAAATTCTTGATAATACTAGTCATTATTATGAGATTGGTATCTAGCGTTGGCATTGAGAAATAAACCACGCTAAACAACTTTGGCAGAAATTTAACGTTGCAGATTTTTAGCTTGGCAATGAAATAAAGCCTTGCTAAAAAGGCTCTGCAGTGAGTGTTGATGCTTGAAAATTATCAAATTAGTATTAATTTAGTAATAATAAATTTAAATAAAATCAATTAATAATTTTTAATTAAAAAATAATTTGTTTCTTTGCGATGACTTTGCAAATGGTGGGAAAAAGCTACAAAAAAAATAATTAAAAAGATTGAATAAAAAAAATAGCAAAATACAGTTGAGATAATTTTCTTAGTTACATACAACACTTTCAAATAATAGTAAAATAAGAACTTCAATTTCTGAAGTATAATAATTATTGCACATGAGCAAAAATAATGATAATTAATTATAGTAATTTTATTAACTTTTTTTGGCTGATACTATTTAAATCTAATATTTAAGACAAGGATTGTTTTATTAAACACTACTTTAAAAATTACTAATATGACATAAAACAAGATTTTCACTAAATATATATATATATAATAATCCTATTACAGAAAAAAAAGCACAAAAAAACAATTAGTAATTTTATAATTATTCATAAACCATTCATTTATTTACAGTTTGTGGCAAAACTTACAAAGAATTAAATAAAAAGATTCAAATAAAAATAAAACAAAA